CCCTCTCTTATGAGATGTGCGATGCGATTGCTAGCCTGCAATCGCTCTACCAGCGCCATGAGCGCGTGTTTTCCGATGGCCCTTCTGAGTCATCCGGATGTGCCTTGTTGTACTAGTGGAAGAGACCATCAACGCAACGGGGTGTCACCGATACACTACTTGTTCGAGTCTTTTCTAACTAGTTTACATTTAAAATATACCCCCATTTGTGTACATATACATAAGCAGGTATACACTGTAGCCAAAAGTAGTGATGCAGTGCGTCGTAGTCCTATTCTGCTAGTAAGTGGGTACAGACCCATAATTAGCCAATTAAAAGCATTTTTTTTAGTAGCTCTCGTGACCAAGTGACCACTCGTGCTTAGGGTGATTGAGGATAAAACGTATAAATGTAAAAATTAGAGCTCAAATTAACCCATATTCAGCACACACAGGCACGTACGCTTCTTACGCTTGCTCGTAAGACCTTTAGTGCAGGCTGTTTGTAACAGGCTCTGACCCCGTTACACCTGGTAGCACTTTGTAGCCCGTCCACCGATGACGATAAGCACCCCAATACAGGGCCCTGCAGGTGGGGTGTCGGACCATGCTGACTTTCAACACCTCACCAAGATCGAGTGAAAAGAACTGCGCCGCCTAGAAGTCGTGGCCGTCATCAGTGCTGTGGTGGCAGTACTCGAGGACCCGCCTGAATATCTCCAGCGGGTCACGATTAAAGGCTTCGTCGATCTTAAGCTCGTCGATATTCGTGGGAAAGCTTTAACTCCCACGGTCACCAACAAGTCATAGGTTGTCAAGCTTGACATCGCCGGAGAAGGCTAGGCTAATAATGAAGACGAGCAACTACCAATGAGGGGCTGGTGCCGTCCGGAGGCTTTACAAGCCGAAAAGCCCCATAGTGTGATGAGGGGTGCGGGTCCTGTAAGGAGTTCAAACTGAGTCAGAATACTCGCAGTTTACCCCAGGGTGATCTGAAGGACCGCGCGGCATAAATCTCTGTTAAGCGTCCTGATCAATCAATTTTCCGGACGTAGGGTTGTTTAGTGTTCGTTTCCACACAAAAGATTCTAGGGAGACTAAAATTAGAAATACCAGTAAGCCGGTGATATTTGTTGGAATTGCAAAGAATTCGATCAGCCATCGCATTCTAATTGCGCGTTCGAGGGCCAATCAGACTTACGAACCGTAAAGCTCGTTTAGGTTTATAAGAAAAGAGAGTAAGTGGATCGAAAAGCTGCTAAAAATAGATATCGTAGCGGCAAGTTAACTCTACCTTTCACGACCCGTATGTTTTCGTGGGACGTTTGACTGCACCTAGTGCTGTAATGACTTATGGCATCGAGCGTCATGACGAGAGGCGTTGTCGTAATGGCTTGATAAGGTCATGGCTTAGGTTATGTCGATGATGCTCCAAACGTTGACGAACCAGCGTTGGCTAAAGTGTAACAGGGGACCGGACAAAAACTCACTGGACTACCAGTGTGGAGATACAATGTTCGGTAGCAGTGTTAGTGACGCCTAGCTACCTCTGTTATTAGGCAGAGGAAGGTAAAACAACCAGGAACTGACTACTTGCTGATAAAGTAAAACCGTATTAAATATGAGAATGTCCTAATCATTAGCCACTGTTTTAGTCCTAACTTAACTACATTTACCTACAAAAATGAGTGCTAAAGTCTTGCTCACCATTCATTGCGCGCGTCCATCGTTGATTGAATCGCTAGATCTGGCTGATATGATGACCCATATCAGCCATTCGGTGAGTGTTTCTGAAAATTACCCCTTATGGTAATATTCACGAACATTATCAACCTTATGATAATACGCTAATTAGCAAGTATCATGGGTTAATTACGTGTAACAGGATCACCCCATTCCATAACCCCTCTTTTAAACGATATTCACTCAATCACTATCACGTTAATGTGGTCACCGTTAGACCACATCAGGGACAGGGAGCAGTTGTATTGGTACGATCCATTCATTTCTGGTTCTTCATCGCATGGTGAACAACTCCATGCGATGCGCGGCGAAAGCTGCTGAGAAGACAGATGCGCGTGTTAACGCAGCCGCTCTTGACGATGCCCAGCCTCTGGCGGCAGAAGATGCTTCGTATGCTGCCACTGCAACTCTTCTGCAGCACCGGTTGCTGCAGATGCACGTGGTGAGTCACTGCATGCTAATGATGATGGTTCCCAAGTCAAGCTAATCTATTCAGGGGAGTTGGACGGCGGGTCCGACCCGAAGAAGACATCTAGTTCACCCGAGCCTATAGAAGCGGCCAGATACGAGCCTACGAATAGGACTCGAGTGGGTAGTCAGACTCATGGTCACTAATGGAGTCTGTTTAGTTTGAAAGATGAGCATGCTGACTTCTCCCCCGCGCCTGATACTGCGCATTTGCTAAAAGCCGAATCAGGCGATGACTTGCACCGTCGTGGTGACGATTCTAGTGGTACCGAAATTCCGGTGTTAACTCAAAGGAGGATCTAGACGGCAATGTGCTACTTCTATCCTCTGCTCACAAGCCTCGGGTATTACCTGAAAGGCTTGCGAATGACCTGTCAGGCGAGACAAGTCTTCATCATTAAATTCCATTATTCGATGCGAGGTTGGTGCACGGCCTTTAATACAGCACTAGTGACTTTTGCGCTGAAGAAGACCTCTAGTCTGGACGCTCGTATAAAGCATCGTTGGTATAGTGGCAATACTAAGCAGGACAAAATCTCGTTGCTGCAGGCGTGAAACGCCTTTGTACTCAATGTGCAGCACATTAGGTGAAAAGCTTGGCTTCAGAAACATAACACAGCTCGTGTTAGGTTTTAGAAACGAACTTTTACTGGTGCGAAAGCCAGGTTGCACTATCTGTCTCGTGAGCCCGAAATTATATGCCTCACGTGAAGTGACCCATGTCTGTGTAGTTTCGACTCCACTCAACGCATCCAAAAGGATGTGTACTCCCTTTCTTTGACCTGAGGTAGGGCAACCCTCTCTTATGAGATGTGCGATGCGATTGCTAGCCTGCAATCGCTCTACCAGCGCCATGAGCGCGTGTTTTCCGATGGCCCTTCTGAGTCATCCGGATGTGCCTTGTTGTACTAGTGGAAGAGACCATCAACGCAACGGGGTGTCACCGATACACTACTTGTTCGAGTCTTTTCTAACTAGTTTACATTTAAAATATACCCCCATTTGTGTACATATACATAAGCAGGTATACACTGTAGCCAAAAGTAGTGATGCAGTGCGTCGTAGTCCTATTCTGCTAGTAAGTGGGTACAGACCCATAATTAGCCAATTAAAAGCATTTTTTTAGTAGCTCTCGTGACCAAGTGACCACTCGTGCTTAGGGTGATTGAGGATAAAACGTATAAATGTAAAAATTAGAGCTCAAATTAACCCATATTCAGCACACACAGGCACGTACGCTTCTTACGCTTGCTCGTAAGACCTTTAGTGCAGGCTGTTTGTAACAGGCTCTGACCCCGTTACACCTGGTAGCACTTTGTAGCCCGTCCACCGATGACGATAAGCACCCCAATACAGGGCCCTGCAGGTGGGGTGTCGGACCATGCTGACTTTCAACACCTCACCAAGATCGAGTGAAAAGAACTGCGCCGCCTAGAAGTCGTGGCCGTCATCAGTGCTGTGGTGGCAGTACTCGAGGACCCGCCTGAATATCTCCAGCGGGTCACGATTAAAGGCTTCGTCGACCTTAAGCTCGTCGATATTCGTGGGAGAGCTTTAACTCCCACGGTCACCAACAAGTCATAGGTTGTCAAGCTTGACATCGCCGGAGAAGGCTAGGCTAATAATGAAGACGAGCAACTACCAATGAGGGGCTGGTGCCGTCCGGAGGCTTTACAAGCCGAAAAGCCCCATAGTGTGATGAGGGGTGCGGGTCCTGTAAGGAGTTCAAACTGAGTCAGAATACTCGCAGTTTACCCCAGGGTGATCTGAAGGACCGCGCGGCATAAATCTCTGTTAAGCGTCCTGATCAATCAATTTTCCGGCTAGGGTTGTTTAGTGTTCGTTTCCACACAAAAGATTCTAGGGAGACTAAAATTAGAAATACCAGTAAGCCGGTGATATTTGTTGGAATTGCAAAGAATTCGATCAGCCATCGCATTCTAATTGCGCGTTCGAGGGCCAATCAGACTTACGAACCGTAAAGCTCGTTTAGGTTTATAAGAAAAGAGAGTAAGTGGATCGAAAAGCTGCTAAAAATAGATATCGTAGCGGCAAGTTAACTCTACCTTTCACGACCCGTATGTTTTCGTGGGACGTTTGACTGCACCTAGTGCTGTAATGACTTATGGCATCGAGCGTCATGACGAGAGGCGTTGTCGTAATGGCTTGATAAGGTCATGGCTTAGGTTATGTCGATGATGCTCCAAACGTTGACGAACCAGCGTTGGCTAAAGTGTAACAGGGGACCGGACAAAAACTCACTGGACTACCAGTGTGGAGATACAATGTTCGGTAGCAGTGTTAGTGACGCCTAGCTACCTCTGTTATTAGGCAGAGGAAGGTAAAACAACCAGGAACTGACTACTTGCTGATAAAGTAAAACCGTATTAAATATGAGAATGTCCTAATCATTAGCCACTGTTTTAGTCCTAACTTAACTACATTTACCTACAAAAATGAGTGCTAAAGTCTTGCTCACCATTCATTGCGCGCGTCCATCGTTGATTGAATCGCTAGATCTGGCTGATATGATGACCCATATCAGCCATTCGGTGAGTGTTTCTGAAAATTACCCCTTATGGTAATATTCACGAACATTATCAACCTTATGATAATACGCTAATTAGCAAGTATCATGGGTTAATTACGTGTAACAGGATCACCCCATTCCATAACCCCTCTTTTAAACGATATTCACTCAATCACTATCACGTTAATGTGGTCACCGTTAGACCACATCAGGGACAGGGAGCAGTTGTATTGGTACGATCCATTCATTTCTGGTTCTTCATCGCATGGTGAACAACTCCATGCGATGCGCGGCGAAAGCTGCTGAGAAGACAGATGCGCGTGTTAACGCAGCCGCTCTTGACGATGCCCAGCCTCTGGCGGCAGAAGATGCTTCGTATGCTGCCACTGCAACTCTTCTGCAGCACCGGTTGCTGCAGATGCACGTGGTGAGTCACTGCATGCTAATGATGATGGTTCCCAAGTCAAGCTAATCTATTCAGGGGAGTTGGACGGCGGGTCCGACCCGAAGAAGACATCTAGTTCACCCGAGCCTATAGAAGCGGCCAGATACGAGCCTACGAATAGGACTCGAGTGGGTAGTCAGACTCATGGTCACTAATGGAGTCTGTTTAGTTTGAAAGATGAGCATGCTGACTTCTCCCCCGCGCCTGATACTGCGCATTTGCTAAAAGCCGAATCAGGCGATGACTTGCACCGTCGTGGTGACGATTCTAGTGGTACCAAAATTCCGGTGTTAACTCAAAGGAGGATCTAGACGGCAATGTGCTACTTCTATCCTCTGCTCACAAGCCTCGGGTATTACCTGAAAGGCTTGCGAATGACCTGTCAGGCGAGACAAGTCTTCATCATTAAATTCCATTATTCGATGCGAGGTTGGTGCACGGCCTTTAATGCAGCACTAGTGACTTTTGCGCTGAAGAAGACCTCTAGTCTGGACGCTCGTCTAAAGCATCGTTGGTATAGTGGCAATACTAAGCAGGACAAAATCTCGTTGCTGCAGGCGTGAAACGCCTTTGTACTCAATGTGCAGCACATTAGGTGAAAAGCTTGGCTTCAGAAACATAACACAGCTCGTGTTAGGTTTTAGAAACGAACTTTTACTGGTGCGAAAGCCAGGTTGCACTATCTGTCTCGTGAGCCCGAAATTATATGCCTCACGTGAAGTGACCCATGTCTGTGTAGTTTCGACTCCACTCAACGCATCCAAAAGGATGTGTACTCCCTTTCTTTGACCTGAGGTAGGGCAACCCTCTCTTATGAGATGTGCGATGCGATTGCTAGCCTGCAATCGCTCTACCAGCGCCATGAGCGCGTGTTTTCCGATGGCCCTTCTGAGTCATCCGGATGTGCCTTGTTGTACTAGTGGAAGAGACCATCAACGCAACGGGGTGTCACCGATACACTACTTGTTCGAGTCTTTTCTAACTAGTTTACATTTAAAATATACCCCCATTTGTGTACATATACATAAGCAGGTATACACTGTAGCCAAAAGTAGTGATGCAGTGCGTCGTAGTCCTATTCTGCTAGTAAGTGGGTACAGACCCATAATTAGCCAATTAAAAGCATTTTTTTAGTAGCTCTCGTGACCAAGTGACCACTCGTGCTTAGGGTGATTGAGGATAAAACGTATAAATGTAAAAATTAGAGCTCAAATTAACCCATATTCAGCACACACAGGCACGTACGCTTCTTACGCTTGCTCGTAAGACCTTTAGTGCAGGCTGTTTGTAACAGGCTCTGACCCCGTTACACCTGGTAGCACTTTGTAGCCCGTCCACCGATGACGATAAGCACCCCAATACAGGGCCCTGCAGGTGGGGTGTCGGACCATGCTGACTTTCAACACCTCACCAAGATCGAGTGAAAAGAACTGCGCCGCCAAGAAGTCGTGGCCGTCATCAGTGCTGTGGTGGCAGTACTCGAGGACCCGCCTGAATATCTCCAGCGGGTCACGATTAAAGGCTTCGTCGACCTTAAGCTCGTCGATATTCGTGGGAGAGCTTTAACTCCCACCGTCACCAAGAAGTCATAGGTTGTCAAGCTTGACATCGCTAGCTACAGCGGCGATAAATCAAAGCGCCTCGTCCTCATCGCTGGCTCTGAGAGGTAGATATTGCTATCCAATCTTGCCAACTTACGTCTGAGTTCTCGCGCACCCACTTCCCCCCCTCCAATTTGAGTGGGAAGGCAAAAAAGTGGGCGCTGGGCAAGCTTGTCGCTAATCCGGGATGTATCGACTGACCGCAAGACCCTGAAGGAAGATTTGCGCCTAGCATTCGAGCCTCCGCAGGATGAGTGCCATCGCTGATAGGCTTTCCTCGCGCTGAAATAAGGTCGCTAATCGATGCAGGACTGAAGTAAACGGTCTTGACACTTGGAGTCGTGCACTGTCACCAATCCTATTAATACGGTGACCAAAGTTTAAGTGTTTGCCACGGGTATGAACGCTGTTCACCAACGTATTTGTTCTACGCGGAAGCATTCGTAGTCGCTTGAAGGAGCGTTCACGATCACGTTGCGTGAGGACTTCAGCGGCATGGTCTCGCACATAGAACATTCGTCGTACCTTTTGCGCATAATACTGATCCTATGTAGATCGACGCGATTGAACGCGTCCCTCATTCACAACGTGTTGCGGGCCACAGGAATGTAAAACCCATGGCGATAAGTCAGCTAATTTTTTCTCGCTGTCTTTGGCCTGGTCACCGCACGGCAGTTTGTCTCGTGCCTTTACCTGTGCTCGTTGTCGCCGAGTCCGTCATCCCTAATGACTCGGCCACACATTCAGAATCGTGAACAGCAGGGCGCGGGGCGCCCTACTGGGAGACGACGGAGGAACGTGACCCAGGTGGCAACACGTTCCTATCTCGCCCCTCTGCGCTTCACGCGGAGCTTTACTCGAGCACGTTCATCAACGACAATATACGTATCGTGCTCGGAGTCCAAGTCTACGGCGCGAAGCGCCCGCTTCGAGCACTGCTGGACTCGGGAGCGACGGATAATTTCGTCCGCGCCGAAAGGTTGACACTGTTTCTCTCGCAGATGCGTGTCGGCAAGTCTCCGGGAGCAGTCATCGTCAAGTATGCCGATTAAAGCCAAGAACGCACCGACAGCGGTCGGCTATCATCCCCTACCAGTTCGACATCTTTGCAAGCTGTGACGAGTTTCACTTCATCTGTAACGGGGTGAATCGTTACATAACAATTTATAAGAAATTGAAAATAGAATATAACTATTAGAGTTAAATTCTCAGAATATTGTCATAAGGACAAATATACTGTAGCACTTACGAGTAGTTCCTAATTGGTTGATATAGGCCATTGTATCAACCAACGAAGACGCGCCACGACAGACGCACGCAATGAGTGGTGAGCAGATAGATGATTTACACATTTGTATTGAGACATGGTTAGATGAAGATAAATAGTGATTTATTGCAGACATTAACTATACTAAATACAGTTCTACTTTTTACTTTAACCAAGTACTCGCTTCTTCTTACCGTCTTCCTCTGCACGTACGAGTGTACGTGAAGTTACGAGGCACCGCCTTATTCTGTCATCAGAATAAGTAGCTTGTACTGTCACCAGTACAAGCTTCAGGGTGCCCCGTTACATCATCGACCTTAGGGAGTCGTTCGACTGCATCTTTAAGATGCCGTGAATTGCACGGCATCGTCCGGACATCGATTGGATTAAAAGCACTGTTAAACCCCGTGAAATCGATGTCAACGCTGTGATCGCGGTGCTTGCTGACCCCGCGAGCACCTGGCAGCATGTTGCTGTCGTGGATCTAAGCTTCACGACCACTAGGACCCGCGAAGTGTGCGAAGGCCCTTCGTTCGCGGTATGCAACACCGCGACAGGCTCCTTCTCAGTCGAACAGTAATTTCTGAGTCAAGAATCTGTGCCAAGATAGTGGTCGTCGGAGTCCCAAGGTCGAGCAACAGCTCCCGTGTGCGACAGACACCTAGCATCGCACCGAAGCAGAGGCTTTCGGTGCTTCACGCACGCGAAGTGGCTCCCAATCGTTTGATACATTCCGAAACCACGCCAGAGCAGAGGCTCCGATGTGTCGCGAGTGAGCAGGGGCTATCTCTTTTGTCCAATATAAGGAAATTGTGCCGGAGAAGAGACTAATGGTCACCGTCGCCGCAGTAGTTCCTGTCGCGACCACAGTCAACCGCCCGGTCCGAGCTTTCAGTGTCGCTCCGCCGTCTATGGCGGCGTACCCGGGATTAATGTACTCTCCGGGTCGCTGATCTTACTTCTACCTCTCGGATCAAGACTGTCCACGTTGTAGTTTGGCAGGCGTAGGCCCCACCATCCACCCTGTCCAGGTTGCTAGTCTCCCTTCCATCACGTCTGCTATCACGCAGCTCCCTGAAATTTGTCGGGATGACATGCTGCGTGATTTAAAACGGAAGTATGTCGATCAACTATGTCTTGTCGTCCACAATTCTGTGCTCGACAGCCACGAGCGCCCTGAAAGAATGAAACCTAAGTTGGCACGCGAAGAGCGCTCGCGGCCAAATCATGGGAAGAGCCGCCGCTTCGAGTAACCCGGCTTTCACTCTAGCGCGAGGATTTGCTGATTTCTTTGCTGGAAAAATTACAGCGGTTCTACCGGCCGATTGCGGCGTACGGCACGAGATTGATCTCTTGCCTGGCTGTAAGTATTGTGTCACACGACAAAGTTCGCTTCAACGGGACCTGGCGAAGCAATTACCGCCTTCTTTAAAGGGTTCCAGCAGGCGAGTCATGTGCGTAAAAACACCTAATCTCATTCCGTCCCTACATTTGCGTCAAAATAGCGACAGGCGGATGGAGGATCTTCCACGCCTACAACTAGCTTAACGACTCGACGATACCAGCCCAGACTCCGATCCTTTGCAAAGAAATGGTTCTCGACACCATATCTGGAAGTATTAATTTATCTTGTTGGACATCACGAACGACTTTACAGATCGTGGTGCGGCCTCAAGATGCTCCTCTCACTGCTATGAGCACGCCTAGCGGCATGCTTTGGGAATGGCTCGTAATGATGTAGGGGCTAAAAAACGCCCCTGCTAATTTCAATCGGATAGTGTTGCATGTGCTCCGCCCATTTTGCAACTTTGACCCAAATTACTTCGACGATATCTTCGTACATATTCGCGCCGCTGCCGGCGTGACCAACCTCACAGCCCACCTCGGACGCCTTCGTCAAGTCTTTGAAGCAATGCGTAAAAAATGCTCTGCGCCAGCCTGAAGAAACTATCTTATGTGCACCAGAAATACCAGTGCTTGGTAGCTACGTCAGCGCGAAAATGGTTCGTGCTTAGCAATAAAAGGATTAATTTATATAAGTTCATGGCCTGTCCCACAAAAGCAGAAATATCTTCGCCAATGGTTAGGGCTAGAAAACTACCTCCATCATTACACCAAGTAATTCGCTGCTGTGATTTACTCATTGTATTAGTTGTTGA